TCAGATGATTATTTGTCTTTTTATGTTTTTAATAAGTATGGTCATTTAGCAATACATATGCCAGTAACAAAATTTAACAAACTTCATACCACAATCTTTATCTTTTCTTCCAAAGACTTACACGATCATTTTTGAATAAGTAAGAATTCAATTAATTGCGGAATAATGAGAGACATTAAAGCATATGATCCAACTGATAATGGGAAACTATTTATTCTAGATATTTGTAGTTTATTGACACAATGGGATTTAGATACTTTACAATATAAAAAGCAATATCAGTTAGAATGGGATAGGATTTGGATTGCTTATGAACTGAAGAAGGATCTTTACGTTTTTAATAACAGTTTTACATTGCTTGCTGTATGTTTGCAAGCTTTGGATCATTTATTTATCTCTGTTTATTTGACAGAAAATGCAATCCTTTTATCGCAGTGTAAGTTCTAAACTAATATTCTAACATTCATAATAATTTTTTATATTATATCTGGCATTTATTGATTAATAGATAAATATGAGAAGCATAAAATTTTGTCTCATTCAGAATTTATTTCATCTAATGAAGGGAAAGGCTTCTTTTGTTTTTTGAGGATTTCACTGAAATAAGGGACCCTTACTGTCTTAACCACGTTAAAACAGTTTCAAATATATGTAAAAAATTTTTAGCTAAATTAAATGGTAAATTTAATGCACAAAAAGCAGATTTATATATGATTAAGAATGAAAGAATATATAGTGTATTGGAAGGATATCTACTAGTTCAAAAATTTTCTAAACAACAATAGATCAAATTTTTACGAAAAAAAATTAGGTGATTACAACGAAATAGGATCTCTACTTAGTAAATCACAAATTGTGGAATTTTTGCAAGTCATTTTGGATGAAAATATTAATACAGAAGATGATAAATTTATAATTAAAAAGGTAGAGGAATCATATGAGGGATTTTTAGTAAAATGAAAATTAGAACAAAATGGCAGGACACTACGAGCTTTTATAAAACTTGATTCAACTACAGAAGAATGGAATCAGATGGATGAAAAGAGAGAGATTCAACCAGAACATCTACAAAAATATAGATTTGTCTATAGATGCGAATTATTGGGTAACAAAGATTTGGTGATGATTACAGTCATTGGCCTTTTAATTTGGATGGTTTGGTCAAAAAAAGAAATCAAATTGCGATATTATAAGGGGTTTTCTTTTACATCATCTTATCTAAATAAGAAAGACTTTAATGATCAATATATATCAGGTGCCTATGTGAACAAGAAATCTGAATATAAAAATTAGAATTTTTTGCAAAAAACTACACATAAGAAAGCTTCTTGAAGAAATATGTGATCATAGAGAAAATTTATTATCACCACCAGATTTTGATGCAATCATGCTATATTATGAAGAACTCTGCATGAACAAAAGATACCCTTTTAAAGAATTGATAGATGATTATATTGAAAATAAGATAACACTGATATTATATGGGCAACAACTTTTAAGGAGCTTTTTGAATAATAAAAACTATTTAATAGCAGAGAAATTGTATAGGCAATGCATTAAAATAAATATAGACGAAAAGATTGATTTTTTGACAAACATCAAATTATTAGAAATTATTACCTTTTCATTTGTGGAGTTGTCTCAAAAATTTCCTGACCTTTTAAAGGAATTTTTATCACATACATCATTTATTATTTCAGATGAAAATAAAGATCTTGCGATCAAAAATTTTTCTTCAGCATCACATCTTCAAAATCATAGAAAATATCCCCAACCATTTAAAACATCTTTTATCAATAATTTATTTAATTTTTGTCAAGAAATCAAACTTTTATCTCTCAATTTTTTGAAGGGCAAGATTTTTAAAAGATTGGATGAACATCTATCTGTCATTATGATCTTTTCTTTACCAAAATTTAATTCATACCCTAGTACTTACAGCACTTGGAAAGAATTAATTTTACCTAACTTTAGTCCGTTTACAAAATATGAATCTTCGGAATTCTATAAACAGTGGAATGGTAAAGCACTTCTTAATTTCAAGTAAAATAACTATGGAAAATATTATTATTTTGCTATTTGGATTTTTTTTTCAATTTTTATGAGATGTTTTTTGATAGTTTCTACTATAGTAAATGGAATGTCCAAAAAATTTCAAAAACAGCTTTTAATTACAACTATCTTTCTTAGAGTTTTACATCTTACATTTGAGGTTCGCCAGTTTATTTATTCTCCATTATCATGAATTACTGATCCTTAAAATTATTTTGGTATTATTTCTAATATTCAATTAATATTATTAATTATTATTATTATTTAGTTTATATTAAATTAATATCGTTTTAAGATTTAGAAATAATATTATTTCCTATAATAACTTCTATTATTTGGTTGCAATATTCTACAATGCCTGTTTGGGCTGTTTCAATTTCTATATTATTGCTTGAACTTAAATTCTTGTTGTTCTTCTGTACTATTGAAGTTACTGGCGCATACTTTGCAATGATAATCGGAGTTGCAAAAAGTGCATTTTCTTTTCTAATATTATTAGGCTTTATCGTGTTTGTATTTGCACACTTTACATGTCCTGTTAAGACCAACAATCGATATTTCTTTAAAATACCCTAGTTATTCAAATGATCCAAATGATTCATGGAATCTAGTATCTGCTTATAATTCTATTTCAGAAAATAGCAGCATATCAGAAAATACTATACTTGTTGAACCTCCAACTGCAACTACAAATATGTTTACAATGCTGAAAACAGCGATTTTAGCTATATATAATGTTGACGGGTATTTAATTTAATTTAATTTAATTTATCTTGATGATGTTATCAATTTTATTATCTTTTTTTTTAGGTAACTCAACCTATTTGTCTAACTGGATATTAACTGAAAATTTAACATTGGTGTTTTTGATATATTTCTTTTCTTTTTTTACAACAATCTATTTGATGAATTTATTTATTGGTTTGTTAAGTAATTCAATTGCTGAAACAAATAAAAAAAAATTATTTTTACTTCAAACGGCAAAGGTATAATTTATTATCATATTTAAAACCTTTCAAATCAAAAATTATAAAATAGATATTAAAAAAATGTTTATACTAATTGTAGATTTTAGCTGAAATAGAGTTATTTTACATGTTACCATATCAACGATGAAAAAACAATTGGTTTCCTAAACTTATATAAATATAAATACTTTTATAATGCAAGTTATTGTGAAATTATTTTATTACAAATGTAATACTAATTTAATTTCTTTTCAAGATTTTATAGAGTGATCAAAACTATAGAAGATAAAAAGGAAATTGTTAGAAGTTCGATTAATCTTATTTGGAAAGCTACTGATGGAGAAATTAAAAAAATTGTTTTTAATAACTAATCATGTTCAGCAGCAATTTTCTTAAGTGATGACACTGAGGATACTGAAAACTTGAACGCACCTGGAGTAGTTCTAATTGCTGAAGAAACTTATCGAAAAATCATCAATGATCTAGCTGACATGAAGGAGAAAGATTCTGTTGCTACTGAAGATGTATTCAATATCAAAATATTTTTATTGTCACAGATTATAACAAAATTGGATTAAAATAAAATTTAAAGTTTCTATTTAACCCTAAGCCTAAAAAAATATATTTCGAAAGCTTTCCTTATTTTACACTATACAAAATTTCATTTTTAATCAGATTTCATTTTAATCTGTCACATTTATTAACCAATTGCGCAGTAACGTTAAAATCTCTTTAAAATAAAATTTAGGATCTAGATAGTGACAATTTATCACAAGTCAATGAGCTAATGTTTGATGCCCAAGCAAATAAAGATGATATATTAAATTTGGAAGAAGGTCAACATACTGAAGATAGTCACATAAATGATTATTTTAAAACTTCAAAAAGGATGAAAAATAATGTAAGAGATTTCAGAAATTGTTAATGTTAAGAAATAGATAGTTTAATATTTAATTTTTTTTATTAAATTGATAGTTAATAAGAATGCTTCGAAATATCCACATGTTAATGAGAATCAGGAGGTAACAAAGATTTTTAATAATGTTAAATAAGCGTAATTAATTATTAACAAATTTCACAACCTTAGCAAAGAGATAATAACTTTGAAGAAACTGACAAATTATTACCCTATTCTCATTTGTCAATTAATGTTACTGTTGTCAATAATGAATTTGAAAGTAACGAAGAAATCGATAACTTATTACCTGATTCTCATTCATCAATCAATGTTACTGCCAATACTTCGCAAGCAGTTAGTACCGATAATCAAATTTCAATTGATAACGAATGCGTTACTGATAATCAAGTAAGAAAATTTCATTAACGTTAAGAGAATTTGATAATTTCCTGTAACTAAGTTAACCTAAAAATCTAATTTATTATTTACAAATCACAAACTTAAGCAAGCTGAAAATAATGGAGAATTGGTTGAATCTATATTTAATGATGAGGAAGTTGATGAATTATTACCTGATTCTCATTCACCAATAAATGTTACTGTCAATACTTTGCAAGCAGTTAGTATTGATAACCAAATTTCACCTAATAATGAATGTGTTACTAATAATCAGATAAGAAATTTTTATTAAGAGAATTTGAAAGTTTCCTGTAACTAAGTTAACCTCAAAATCTAACTTATTATTGACAAATCACAAACTTAAGCATGTAGATGAATCTATACTCAATAACTATCCCAATGACCAGCTCAATGATCAGCCATCAATTAATGTTATCTCAGGAATGCTTGAACAAACAACCCTGGCAGAAAATAGTACACTAGCCGATGATATTGAATCGATTCAAGATAATGATTATGTAAGAATTTCAACTAGTCGATTAATAAATTTCAAAAAAAATTATTGATATAGATTCTTGTCAAAAAAATTTGACAGAAAGAGGACTTTGATTTTGCTAAAAATTCAAAGAATTTGAAACGTAAAATACATAAATTTGACAATAGAAGCATAAAAAAAAATAAAAGATTGAAGAAAAAATACGAAAAACAACTGTATACTGACTATAAAGAAAGCCAAAATATAAAATTTTCAAAGAAAAAGATAATGAATCGCAATAAAAAAAGCAAATCTTTATTGGATCCTTTAGGTATTATGATAATTATTTATGTATATTATTTATTATTTATCATTATAAGAAAAATATTAAATTATTATAGAAATTCCAGCTCTATATAATGATAGCTCTACAGATGACTCAGCTGAAAATAGAGTAGGAAGCACCAATTTTCTAATTGTTCTTATAGAAAGGGATGAATGTTTTAGCAGTAGCCAGATAAACTCTAGTGCAGTGTTGTCAAATAGTTTGTTCATTGGTAATTGTTACATTCTTTTATTCTGTTATTTATCAGCATAGCGAACATTTATTGTAATTGGTTAGATTTTGTTGATTATCACGTAATTTTATTTGCTAATCACCTAATCAAATTGTGATAATCATAGAATAACGATGGGTATGTAATATTAATATTAGTCTTTAAAGTTTTACTCAAATATTAATAAGATACATTATTATGCACACAATAAATGCCCTTAATACTTTATAATCTCTTATAAAGAAGAAAGATCGAATTTATTATTATGAGAT